CATAACAGTTCAAAAGTTTACTCAGGAGTTTAATTTCACAGCCTTCTTTCTTGGGGGGAAAAGTACAATGCAAGGTCTGCAGAAACAAAGCATTAAAATGACCCTTAAAAAATCAGTTCCCCATTTCATCAGGAAAGGCCAAAATATTTATATGCCTTTCCAAGTCCCCTTACAATTGCATTTTAGTGTCAAACTCTTTTCATGTTAAACTTGAGTTTCTTGATTCGCATAATTATGTTTAAGGTGTTTGTTAAGAAAATCTTTCTGGATCCACTGAAGTGAACATCTGACCACTGTCTGACCCAGAAAGGCAGAAGATGAGCTCATTTTTAAGTAAAAACATCATGATCATCATTCAGTTCAGTTCTGAGGACAGGAGTGTTCTTGCAAATTTCGGCATCACAAACAGCTCCTGGCACGCGTGGTAGGTGCTTAGTAAACACTGCCAACTCATTCAGTTGGCAGATCCCAGAACAGATCCTTCAGGGTAGCAGGGAAAAGAGCGAATGTCCGAGAATGTATTGTCATCGACACCTACTATAGTCAGTCATTTATATATGATATAAATCAGGTAGATGTATGAGGAGTAAAGATAAAATTTCATTTGAAAGTCACTGGGCTTTTTAGTATGAAAGAGAAAACATCCATGTGTTTATGATTTTGAGATTCTGAAGAGGGTGGGGGAAGGGATATTTACACAGAAAACATTTCTCATTTCACATAGAGAAATTCAGTGAAAGGTGGTAGCCACTGAAACAGTATTTCTTTCCAAGCTACCTGTCCTTGTTTCCAGGTTTTCTTTATCCTTTTCCCCAGGAGACAAGTGCTCAGTCACACAAATCCTCCCAACCTAAAGCAGGGGACAAAGGGAACAGTTAATGGGAGGGGCAGCAGAGGTTACTAGCTCCCTGCTTTGATTCTCAGGGACCACAGGCTTCACTAGGCGATGAGGACGTGAGGACCTGAGAATGTGCACAGCTAAGATACCCACCCAGTTCCTCTGCAGGGACCACAGCTCACAGAGCCACTGAAATGCAACTGCTCTTGGGTTCTGGTGACAACCACCCCAAGTTCCTCTGTGGGGGATCTGCCGCTTCCCATTCTCCAGCTGAGCATGGCTGGAGGGAAGGCTGGCTGGGGGTCCCAGGGTACCTGAGACTATGCTGATGAAGGACCCCATTGCTCCTATGTGACACAATGGGGAGAAAACAAGATCAAACAGAATGACTGAGACTGACAAGAACAAAGCCCAGTACCCTGCCCAGCCCTGAGTCTAGCTCCCCGCAGCAACGGCCCTCAGTTCTTCCAGCCCTGTGCTCCTGGTATTTACTAATACAGTATTTTTTATTCTCAATTTTAGAACATCACATTGACTTTCTACTATATAAGACTGGAGCGTGGTCCTTAGGCGGTCACCAGTGCACACACACACATACATTATCACTCATCTTTCATTTTGCTCATAATATTTGGTTGACATGGTACTCAGGATTCACACTATGATGGTCTTGTTAAACTGTTCATTGCTGGGCTAGTCAATGAATGCTAATTACAGTTTTCAGTTATGAATTCCCTGAGAATTAGAATTCATAACCAGCTGATAGGCAAAAGTAACAAAAATCTGAGACTAGCAAATGACGGCAAGAGTGTGAAACAGGAAATGCTGACTGCTGTAGCCACTTCAGAAGCAGTGACACAGGCAGTACTCCAGGAACCTGCATTCACCTGTGCCTGGCAGCTCCAGGCCCTGCGATGCCCGAGAGCCTCACAGATGTGCTGGAAAATGCTCGCACCAATGTTGTTCATGCGCAGAGTTTTTAATAGCAAAAAATGGGGAAACAGGCCAAACTGCAAATCCTAAGGAACGGATAAATTATATAAGGCAGTTAAAATGAACAACACATAGCTTTCATATCAACAGTGAGGCATCTCAAAAGCCCAGTGCTAAATGGGATAAAAAGAACAGTAGTAACATTTATGCAAAGTTTGAAAGTATGTAAAATACTACTGCTTGATATTCACTGGCATGTACACATGAAGTAATACTGTAGAAACAAAAATAGAAACAGTAAGTAACAAGTTCAGGATTGAGGTTATTTATAAAGAAAGAATGCAGGGACTAGAGTCAGAAGTGTCATTTTCTGTAGGTTGGGAAGCATACCCTAATCTTTAAAAGGAGAAAGGAGAAAAAGGAAGTTGGCTTTAATTTGCTGATCCTCCCTTAAATGTTTCCTCCTAAAAATGACATCAAATGAAAGAAACCCTACTCCACTCAGGGGGCCTGATCTTAAATTCAGGAATAAATGGCTCTCCTGATAGGCAGGTACTTCCAACATCTGTTTCCATGGCTGTGTCTTCCCTGCTACCTGGATGGTACAATGAAAGATTTTAGGCACCACCAAGTGCTACAACATGTCCGCTGAAATAGAAAATGCAGTGTGTGTGTGTGTGTGTGTGTGTGTTGTGTGTGCACCAGTACAGAATCACCAATGGGGGAAATTCCTAAAGGGTTCCTGACTCTCCAGAAGCTTGCAAGCTCTAAGCAGGTCTAATTTTTCATGGTGCCAACCAGCAGATGTCCAAATGCTCAGAACCTCTGAGCTAGTCTGTGTCGTGTCCTATACGCCAACAGGTCCCTGACCCAAATCCTCCCGCACGGTGGTCAGGGATAATACACTGGGACCACATGGACAGGAGTCCACACTCTGGTCACAGCTGGACTGGGTCACCTTGGGGAGTTGGTTTCCGTGCCTGTGACACAAAGACATGCTGTTGCGCTCACATGGGCTGGCACAGCACCAGGCATGTGGCCAGCACTAACACAGTCTGCAGGGCTACGTCCGTCATCTCCGCAGTCTACACTCTCCACTCCTGTTTCCTATTTTCACAACTGTCACCAAGTACCATGTCACTGCTATGGGAGATGTCAGCCCCAGTCCCCCCTCTCCTCACTAGGGAAGGAGTTTATCAGTCCTATACTTGTCTCAGTCCTATACTTCTGTGTCAGGACACAGAATGAGCTGTGTGTTAAATGGGTGGACAGAGGGATGAAGGAAAGAAGGAATCCTGCCAGTCACGCTGCACAACTGGGTATGAGGACTGAAAGTTTCTAAAAATGAGCTTGGTGACTTCTAAATCATTTATCAACAGCATCATGCCTGCCATCGAACTTCCAGAAGTTTAGCACGATGAAAGTAAGAACGATCATCAAAGAGATAATCTTTCTTGTCTCCTCCTCCCTTTTGGGGGAAGGAGGAGACAAAGTACTGGGAGACAAAGCTCCCACTGAGCTTCATCCCCAGCCATTTTTTTTTAAATTTTATTTCAAAGGAAAAAGAGAAAAAAACAAAACAAAACAAAGTGGTATAAGGGCACAAGCAATACAGAACCACAAAAAAAAAAAAAAAAAAAAAAACAAAAAAAACAAAAAACAAACCCGGCAAGAAATCACCAGTCAACTGGTTTCTTGCTGTTTTGTTTTTTGTTGTTGTTTTTTTTTTTTTTTTTTTTTTTGTGGTTCTGTATTGCTTGTGCCCTTTTTTTGTTTTTTTTTTTAAGTTTTGAAAACAGGGTCTCACTAAGTCACTAAATTGCCAAAGCGAGGCTCAAATTTTCAATCCTGCCTCACCCTCCCAGGGTGCTGGGATTATGGGCATGCACCCAACCAATTATTCTCAACTCAACAGTGACACAGTAAGGAGAGGAAGTATTAGGCAGTAGAGAGCTGGACAGTCCTAGGCCCAGAGAGAGACTTGGCATCAAGACAGCTGTGGACAGGACAGGTGGCGGGCACACCTGCAGGCAGCTGTTCTTTCTGCTAGTGCCAGTGAGACGAGGCAGAGACACAGTGGATGCAAGAAAGTGGGAAGCCAGAAGGGTTTGCAGGTTGTTCTCTGAACAGCAAGGCCTGCAGTGCAGTAACAGCTCCAGCCTCTGTCCATCTGGAAAGGAAAGGCCCCTGTCCATCTGCATAAAAGTGAGGGGAGGGCCTTGCTCCTACTGCCTCAGCAGAGACTGGATCAGGCACCAACTGGGCTCCTTCCCGCCACCTCCCTCCGCATCTTGTAGGGCACCAGCAGGGCACCTGCTATTTCAATTATCTCCAGGCATCACATCCCAGGCAGGAAAGTGATCAGAACTTAATGACTCATCCTATCCCACAAAACAGCTCTGCTCTTATCGTTATGTCTGAAAGTATACAGAGGTAGGACTGAGACAAAAAAGGCAGATTTTTTTTTTAAAAATGCTTCATTTTAACAACACAGGAAAATAAATCAAGCATGTTTTCAAAAGTTCAAAAATAAGGGGCTTACAATTACTGAAAAATGAAATCTGCATATAAAACTCTAGTAATTGTGGGTAATAGGTGAAGAAAATTATGCATGTGCTTGAATTTTTAACATGTCTTAGTTATTCTATCTATAAGATGCAGAACAAAGTGAATGTGACTTAAATTTTGTAAATGAAAACGGGCTACTAATTAAGCTTGTCCTTCAAAGTGCTGCGTGTAAGGAAGTGCTCCTATTCAGTTTAGCCTGACTCTCGGGTATAATTCCCAGAGGCTCTTCCTAAAACTCAGGTGAGCCCCATCCCTGGAGTAAGCACAGACTCCAAGTTAGTGGTGCTCTCTGGGAGATCAACCATTACATTCAGAAATTCAAAGCAAGCTGCTAAAAACCATTACCATTCGCAACCATTCTGTGTGAATGAAGATTCTCTTAGCAGTATGTAACCAAAATGAAAATAAACTTGCAGTTAACATGGATATGTTTTCAGTGCCTACCTTGGGGGTCCCCAAATTCAGTCCTTACTGAATGTTATAAAACTGTGAAACGTCTAGGCAGATAACATGCATTTATTTTAATGGAATAAACATTGTTTTATATTATAGTCTAAGGTAACATGCATTTAACACAGTATTATCCATTTTTGGGGAAACTATTGACTTAAGTAATTCTCTTCCAGGTAATACTTGCTATCAACTCTTTAAAGTCACTTACGACTGGTCCTGCTTGTAGGAGAGGGAAAAAAAGTCGTAAACCAAGCACACTCCAAACACCGTGACACCTGTCTCCTTCACCAGCATTGCGCAGGTCCCCAGAAGCAAACTGAGCAGCAGGAAGAAGGGTGAAGCTGCAGGAGGGAGACAGCCCCCCGCACCATGCTGGTCCAGACTCCTGGAAGACAGGGGACAGTCTTTCAGCCTCAGAAGTGTGGGTCACATAAGACACTTAAAGATAAGATACAGTGTCAGTTTCACTGCACCCTAAGCAAGTAAGTAGGTCAGCAAAGACTTTTTCAAGAACGTTCACCATGGAGTCACTGAAAACTGCTAAGACAGAAAAAAAAATGCCTAGTAATAAACTTGTTACTTAAATTATGATATTTATAAATTACGGTAAAATAGGGACTATAACAAATGAATGCTTGAAAACTAAGCTATTCAAAATTCTACCATAAAGGTGTATTTAGGGAGATGGCAAGAAGTTTAAGAGAATACTTTGTAAGAAACAATATGAGTCACAAACAACTTCACAGCTCTGGGCAGTCAGCAGGTCCAACACCACTCTGTAGGTCCCAGCAGGACCAGACAAGCAGTTACTCTGCCTGCTGGGCTTCCTGTCCCCTGCATGGGAAACAGGAGTGTCATGCCAGAGGGAGCACTGAACAAACGTCTTTGTTTATTCACGCCAAATTTCACTGTCATCATCATTAGACTGAAGTGTCTCCACCAAATAGTCAGGGGACAGATATACCAAAATATGACACATTCCTTTTTGTGATATTCTCACCTGTTTGTTTTCTTTGAGCCAATCCATACCTTAAGATTTATTTTCCATGAGCATGTATTAGGTAGGGTTTATTTCTTCTCAGCTTAACTTACAACAGGATTTTTCAAAAACTCTACCATCCTATAAAATCTTTCCACTGGATGAAAGAGTACTGGCCCCCGAAACAACCCTTCAGCAGGTGCTTTGTCTGCTGGCCCCCCTCCTCAAGTGAAGGCCAGTGCTTCTGAGCAAGTGATGAGCCTTCGAACAATCGCATACATTCCACACAGTTTTTACAGTAGATAAACTTTTTTCTGTAGAGTTGGTCTATGCCATAAACCTATGAAGGGGAGCAGGACAAATACCTGTGACAATACAGCTCAGTACCTCATGGCCATGGACATGCTGCCAGGTTAATCAGGTTCCCACACAGCACCACACAGAGGAAGCCCCAGAGAAAAAGTTTAAATTAAAGCAGTTAATTCTGGTGCAACACCAGCGTAAAGAAGGTGCAAATGTAAAATATGGGCTTAACTTTTTAAAACTTCACAATACTTCATGTGACTAAGATTTAGTGGGGGTCCAAAGCCAGAACCTGGAGACCAATACTATCCAGAGAAAAGGCTCCATCCTTTGTCACAAATCTTCATGAGACTTAATTCATCCCACTGTTGACAGCAGACTGACACTGGTTTCTACCAGGGTCTCGCATCTCAGTGCTGCTGGCACTTTCCTGCAATGGACGCTATGCAGGGCCCATCTCTAGATCCTGGGGTGCTCATTTAGCAGCAATCTTGCTTTTGACCCGTCGGATGCCAGTAGCACCCCTTCAGATGTGCCAAGCAAAATGTCTGCAGACATCAGCAAAAGTTCCAGGAGGGAGGGAGGGAATGGGGGCCAAGGAAGGGGGCAGGCTGCTCCTGATGAAGACCATGGGTATAGAACAGTGTTCCTCAGACAGAGTCCTGGGCCTTGTAAGATCAACCTCAGTGAACCAATCTGCAGACCAAGGTCACAGACCCTTAAGCAGGCACTGCTCCAGGAAGCAGCAGTGTGGCAGACTGCCTCCTTTCAAGGGCCACACTCTGGGCCTCGATTCCTTTACCCCTCTTATGCTCTCCCAACTCTCCCTTTTCCTATGTGGCTCCCACAGGACACAAGTGAGGATCTGACTGCTTGGCAGGAAGGGCACAGTATAGTGGAAAATTATTTTATTGCTTTTCATTTTCCCAGGGCAAAAAAGCATCTGTATTTTGACAAAAAGACTATAGGCCAGAAAACCACAGCTGAGAAACAGACCACAGACAAATAGACTGGAGCACTATAGCCAGTACATTTTGGCTCAGAGCTAAAATTCCAAATTCCATTCTCAGCCAAAAACTACAAGTAAAAGAAATAGGAAGAAAGAGCACAGGTTCCTAGCAGTGGGCAAGTAGTCTTTTCTAAGTGATACAACAACAGCTTCGAGTGGGACTGAAGACAAGAGCCTAGCATGGGCTAGGAAGGGGCTCCTGTCCGTGCAGCTCATCAAGCCCTCACAGCCCAGGCGTCTCCCTCCTGTCCCCAGTGCGGCTCACTGAACAATACATACCTGTTGTAGGAGAGAAAGGCCAGGAGGAAAAGGAGGCACGCCAACACGTCAGCTCTGCCCACAATTCCAGCCACCCAGAAGTTAACACAGTAATAAATTTAAAACTCAGAAGGTTATTCTCAGAATATCTTGCAGAAATGTTTTTGATTTTAGATGAGTGGAAGGGCATAATAAAACAGAAAATGTAATGTTCTTCAAATTCTCATTTATGATGGACCACCTCTGACTAATACATATAGAGTCCACCAAGGAAACGTACGCGTGCTTCGGCAGACTGCTGTGCTTACTAATAAATGTCTGGAAGCAAATGGCCAACATTTATAATTGTAGAGGCCAAAGGTAACATATTAATTTCATGATGTCACAATAAATTTAGCATTAAAATATTATACAAGTTTTTCTTTTCCTGATGTGTGTGTACATTTTTTTTGGCAGACTGTACATTTAACAATAAGGCATAGAAGAAGAAAAACAGGAAGGCCAAAATTTTCATGATTTAACTTCTACTCTGTAGAAAGATAATTCACATCATCAAAGTTTATTCATTTATTGATTTTTCACAAAAGCTTTCAGAGCTGAGGGTGCAACTCAGTGTTAGAGCCCTTGCCTACCACGCACAGCGCCTTAGGTTCAAGTCACAGCACCACACGTGCACACAAACGCTGAAGCAATGCTGGGGATCAGCACTGTGCTAGTCTTTGGGCATCACACTGATTAACAGAGCAGAGAATATTTACACAATGAAGGGAAAAAACAGGTGAGGAATTATACTTGTAACAAGAAACAGAATGAGTTTGAACTCATGATTGCTACACGAGTCTGTGTGTGTGTGTGTGTGTGTGTGTGTGTGTGTGTGTGTGTGTGTGGGCGCGCTCTGCCAGTGAAAGGGCTTAAAGGCAACATATCCCAGTGGCACACAGCAATCCTGGCACCCACTATAAACCATTTTCCCTAACGACAACACCAGCTCCTTTGAAAAAAGGCTGAGTTCTGGGCTGAGGTTAGGGATATTCCAGAGACTAGGCCATCTTCCTATGTCAAAAAAATTAGACAGTACTGAAAACATGATAGTCAAAAGGACACAGAAGCCAACAACAAGAGGCTGTCACTGACCACAACTAAGATGATTTTAATATTGAAATAAATGAAGGCCATATTATTTTATAAACCACAGGAAAAACAGAAACCCATGCATCCATATGGAGTATATGTGGAGGATGAATAAAGGACACAAATGCAAGTATACAACAGCAAATAAGGCATGAGAAAAAAGGTCAGTTCCTGCTTCACTAAAAAGGCAGCTAAAGAATGTGGAAGAACTAGGGGAGGTAGAAAATAACCATTTTGCCTCCAAAACAGTAAAGGAACAGCAAGCAACATCAAAAATTATAGGGCTGGAGCACAGTACAGTTCAGTGGGAGAATGCCTGCCCGGCAGTGCAAGGCCCTGGGTTAGATTCCCGCACTGAAAATACAACGCTAAACCTAGAGCGTGAAAATTTTTGAGGTATAAGATATTTGCATGGCTTTAAAGTATTGCCTTATCAACTATTTATTCTCTAGGAGAAATGTTTAAATACACTGCAGAAAATGTTGTAGTGCACTATACCTTCCTTGAGGACTCAAAATTAAAGTCACCATCCCTGAGAAAACTGAAATCACCATTTATGCATTATTCTAGCTAAGGCTATTATAACCTAAATAAAATCACTGGAAAAGTCAGACAAACTCAACAGTCCATAAGATATAAACATATCATATGTTTAAAAGTTATAAAATATATCCTATATTAATATTTTATAATAAACATTTTATTACATCTTAATTTATTATGGTTTATGCCACATCATTCCTAATTACATGATAATTCATGATCACAATACTGTATATATTATATGCTGCAGAGGTATTACGCTGTGGTACCTTGGTTGACAATCTTAATTCATTAGTATGTCAGGTACTAAATTTTATATATTTATATTCTATGTATTATTTATTTATAATTATGTCTATATTATTTTATTTATATGTAAGAGATTTTAATGTACCATAGTATTAAATTTTACTATACCACATAGACAGTAATCTATATATAATTATCACTTTTTGGCATTTTGGCTAAGATCAAGTGTAATTTGTATACACTATAATATTTTTATTTACATTACAAATTTTCATATAGACTGACTATATATTATAAATTCTACATTATATATTTATATAATATTTATGTAATTGCATGCTATACATTTATGTATTGCGATCATAAATATACACATTTTAACATAAATTCTTAATTAAATTAAAATACATGAATTATAGAAAGACAGTAAAGATTAACAGCTGTTCCAAACCAAAGAAGACTAAAAAGAAATATGAGTAATACCTTCCATTTCACAGGACTGAATCATTAATGCTCAAAGAGTCATGGATTGTACAGTCCACTCCTAGACAGCTTCGGGAAATAGCCCAGATTTTTAGGCAGAGGGAGAAAGACAGGATGATTGATACATGTGCTGAAACATTAAAAACTAGTGAATCTGAGAAAGAACAGTCATTCTGTGTATTTTTAAAGTCCGAAATTATTTCAAAGATATGTTACTTCACAGGGTCCTGAGCTGGAAGTAGGGTATGAGGCAGACCTCTCTTTGTAAGTCTTTGTAGTATTTTGCTACATAAGATATATGTGCATTTCCCTTCATTAAAAGCAAAAAAAAAAATCATAAAGGAAAAAGATGTAGTTTTTCAAACGCTAACAAGAGGCCCCAAAAGAGCTAGATGAGATGTGGCTCTGAGGAAGATTATCATTTCAGGCA